TCTCTGGTGAAGAGGAGTTTGAGATGAACCTTGGCAGAAGGTTCTACTAATCTTTTCTTTTTTATTATTTCCTGAGACCCCTCTTCATTATACACCAGCTCCTACCCTCTCAGCAGCCCTTTCCTTGATGGAAGTAGGACTTCCATCTTCCACTTTTCCATATCATTTCTCATTTGTCCTCCTCTCTTTCCAGCACCCCAAAGCCCGAGCTTCCTGGTCTAGATGCTGCCAGTTCAGCCAGCCAGGCTGTAAGGAATCTGATGCCCTTTTCTTTTAGGAGATGCTATCAAGTTTTGGCTTGTGAGTCAGATGGCTTCAGCAGCGGCAGTTCTGAGCAGCATGACATGTGGACATTACAAATAAAACAGTTTACTCCGAGCCAGTTTCCCAGAGTCCCTCAATTCCACACTCTCCCCCTATACGTTCACTTCTCAGAGCTTGGTGGGATCTGAATGTTCTTTAGGGAAAGAACATTTCTGCCACTGGGACAGTGCTGTAAAAGAGTCCCAGGATGAGCATTGCAGAAGAATAAGAGATAATTAATATTTGGACAGGAACATTTTAGTGACTGTAGATGAAAGAACAAGTAAGGAAGAGCTGCATGATGGAGAGGAAAGAAAACAGGCTTGGGAATCTCCACAAAGAAAGGCTTTTCTTGGCCATGGTTTATCTCTGGATTTTGAAAGGAGTGAAGCAACTCTCAGGCCCTTCTGAGAATGAATGCCACACACCTCATAGGACTGGCCACGTGCACATTCCTTTTGCGTTACTTCTGTGTTGGATAGTTCAGGGAAAGAAGAAGCTGAGATTGCATTTTGGAGTCCAGCCTCCTTGGTACATTGAAGTGTCCACATGGAAGGGATTTTTGCCATGCATTTGGCTTCAATTCAGTGTTTTTCTGCCAAAGTTCCCCATTTACCTTGTGGGGCTTCTTGTCCCCATAGGTGAGAATTCACTCTTGACTGCAGGAGGATTTTGGACAGGATGAAATCTGCTTTTATTTCTGGCTTCTTTTCTCCTTTCTAGCTCTTACCGCTCAACCAGGGATAAACACACATATTGATCTTAAATTCCCTATATTGTGAAGACAAGAGGATGGGGCAAGGACATTTTATTCTGAGCCCGTGGATATTACTATGTCCCTAAAAATGCTCATTTGCATGTTTGGACAATACAGGTTGGCCCATTCTAGGCTCTAACCTGCCTTTTCCATGTTCCTGCAGAGTAGGAGAATGTTTTTCTCACAATGTGCTCATCTGCACCCTGCATGGTTCAAAGCAGGCAGATGCCATGCTCACACAGCAGCAGGAAGTCTGCAAAAGAATGGCAGGGCTCTCAACACAGAGATGGTCTAATACTCCCACTTGCAGCCTCTGAGTCTTTCAATGCCCTGGAGACTCTTGCTGCCTAGGGAGGGAGAGGGAGAAAAGGACTCTCAGACATGACCCAGGTATAGCAGTTGAAAAGGGGAGTCCGTCACTTCCCAAAGCTCCTTAATTCTCATTTTGCACTAAGTGCTTCTGAGAGTGACAAGTTCAGAGGAGAACTGGCTCAGAGCTGGACTTGGGGACCAATGAAAATTCTCAGTGTAGCTTTGCTTTGTGGGGAGGTTTCTAAAACACGAGAAAGCCGGAGGGGCTTGGTCTCCAGGACATAGGTGGGCACTTCAGTCTCTTTAAAAAGTTGACTCAGCCTAAGCCATATAGCTTACAAGGGCAAGAGGAGCTTAGAGGTAAATCCAAGGACTGTGACCTCCTGGTTTTCTGGAGATGAGATGTGAGTTACCTGTTGGTAGATTCACTATTTTTTAAGTCCGGCCCTGTAGAGGCAGCTGTGTTCCAGCTAGCTCACTCATCACTGAACAAAACACATCGTGTGCCAGTGGTTCTCAAGAGGTTCCTCCTGCATCAGTAATGTCAACATCAACTTAGAGATGCCTATCCTCAAGCCTCAAGATGGACAATCTCTGAGATAGGAGCCTGGAGATCTGCTTTTAATAAACTCTCTGGGTGCTTTTGAGGGTCCTGCACATTGGTAAGTCAGAGAGAGGGTGAGACTGGGTTCTGAGTGCAGAGCTGGCTTCCTCAAATGACTGGCCTCTCTGGCATATCTTTGCTTTCTGGATTTCATGCTGATCTTAGCACCTGGGGGAAACTTGGCTTGGCTTTCATTTCACCTTCTTTTAAAATAATACCAGTCACAATAAAAATGATATTTTAGTATATTTACAATTTGGAATAAATTTATTGTATCACTTTCATGGAGAGAGGTGGTCCAACAAACATATGTTCACCCAAGATAGGATACCGATAACATACCAAAACCAGCTTGGCAAACAGATGAACATTAGAGTGACGGGAATATGAATGCCTCAAAACCAGCTGTATCACCAAGAGTTCCTACGTCAGCATGGGTGAAAAGCTGTATTAGTAGAGTTCTCTCTCAACCTACTGCATGCTATACATGTTAGCACCTTCCAAGACCACGTGCAGCTGGAAGGACTCCATGTGGCTAGGGTGGGAGCATGAGGAGACGATGGCTGAAATTCCCGGTGAGAATCTGATGATATTCCAACTCCTTCTGCAAAAACACAAGAAAAAGGCTGATCTATCTCTTCCCCCTTTCTCTTTCTCTCTCCGTTTTTGTCTCTCTCTATGTGCTCATGCACACACAGTATGTAGGTAGAGAGGCCAGAGGACATCCTTTGTGTTGGTCCTTCCCTTCTGCTTTCTTTGAGACCGGCCTCTTGTTTTGCTACTGTATATACCGGGGTAACTGTCCTCTAGACCTCCATTATTCTTTTTCTGCCTCCAGTCTCATCATGAGAACTATAAGATTACATCTTCAGCCACTGTGCCTGGCCTGGCCTGGGGATCCCAACTCAGGTCTTCCTGCTTGCACGGCAGGTGCTTTCCTTACTGAGCCACCTCCCCAGCCCAACAGGCTGATGTTGTGAGTCAAGTCACTGTGATGTCAAGGTCGCAATAGTCAAGGAGCTCACAGAAGACAGAGTTCCACAATACAAATGTTTATAGATTTGTACATCTAGCTATAGGACATGCCCATTTTTTAGGTGAGAAACCTGAGACCTGGCTCCAGACTGGAGAGTTGTCTGACCAGGCCATATCTTCACTGCCTGGCTTTGCCAGGTCATTTATCTTGCAAGACCCTGTGTGTTATCATTAGCTGCCTGGGAGGGATTAGGACGTGGTGAGCTGATGACTTCCCAACAGAGGCCCAGGCTTCCCATTTTTCTCCCAGTGATACTTCTTAGCCTTGTTCCTCAAGGCAAGAAAATATACCATTCTTCAGAGGCTACAAGACAGAGATATGGATGTAGAGCAAGGAACCATCTCTCCAGCTGAGGAAACCATTTTTATCCATGAGTTGTGAAGATGGCCTGTAAGGACAAAGGAAATGGGCAGGTCACCCTAGATCCTGTGGAATATTGAACTATGATAGGAAAAAAGCAGTGCCCAAATCTACCAAGCCCCTAGGCCCGCTTTGGAGCCATGTCCCTCTGTCACTGTCAGGTGGCTCTTTGCTATGGGAACAGTCTGCCACGGTTCTTCCACCTTCCGCTTTCACTGTTTGACAGGGTCATTTGAGAGGATCTTCTTTGAGGGCTTGGCGACATGCTTCACAATGTTGGTACAGGCGTTTAATGGGCTTTTGCCTATTGAACAATTCATGTAAAGGTCGCTGCATAATCTCCACCTCACTCCTTTCATCACCAGCCCCTTGCTTGTACCGTTCCTTGGTAGCATTTTTTTTTCCCCAAAGAGATGGGAGGGCTGAGGTCACAGTTCTGCTCTCTCCTGGCAGACACACTTTAATTAGGTTGCTAAATTAGCAGAGGCACTGGCAGCTCTTCTCTTTGCATGGACTCAAGTCCTGGGGCTGCCTTTGAACTTGTGATTTCATTGGTTTGCTTTCTGTCAGAGGAGCCGTACTAGCCAACTAGAGATTTTCCTGACATAATCGTAGCTACCGATGTGTGTTTTCTATTCTGAACAGGATACTGTTGGGTTGTGTGTGTGTTTCTGTGTGTATGTATGTGCACATACATGTGTATAGACATGTGTGTACATGGTATGTGTATGTATGTATACATGTCTGGGTATGTGTATGTGTGTACATATGTATGTGTGTATATGTTTGTGTGTGTGTTTACGCATGTGTGTATGTATGGGTACTTGTGTATGTGTGTGCATGTGTGTGTTGTGTATGTATATGCTGTGTGTGTGTCTGTATGTGCATGTGCTTGCGTATGTGTGTATGTATGCTTGTGTACGTATTTACACGTGTGTTTGTGAGAGTGTCGTGCATGTGCTTGTGTATGTGTGTGTATGTGTTTGTGCGTGTTTATTGAGCACAGGTTTCTAAGTTTCTCGCAGGCATTGAGCCAGCCTCTAAATCTGGATTATCTCATTTCATCACAGGGCTTCAGCAAGGAAGGTACTGTTACTAATCTCACTTTGGGATTAAATAACTTCTACAGACTGAAAAAAAAAAAAAAAGGCAGGATTGTCATGGGCTCTGCATTCAAAATCTGATTCTCAGCTTAGTCCTGGCAAACTTGGTGTTTAAAGTTCTACCAGCAGCTCATTGGCATCACTTGGTGGCTTGCCATGGATGTTCACTCTCAGGCCCACAGAATCAGAATCTACATCTTGCCAAGATGCTCCTGGTCGTGTGTGGCATCACAGGACATGCTTATATTCCATCACATCACTGTGCATGTACTGTCCTGATTACAAACTACCATCGGTGCTGGTTTTCATCTGAGGAAGCTGAGACATACAGTGGTCGGCAGCTAGTCTGGCACAGCGGAGATTCAATTCTGTGTCACACTCAATCCATAAAGCCATGACAATCCCTAGGCCCAAACTGGGATATTAACATTTGGTTCTTCCTATTGTGGACTCAGAAATACCTTAGATTGCTGCTGTTTTGATAGCTGCCAGAATCTGACTGTCCCCTTTGTGATGCTTCTACAGATGTCCAGCACATCAAGAGGAGAGACATAGTGTTGAAGAGAGAACTGGGTGAGGGGGCCTTTGGAAAGGTCTTCCTGGCTGAGTGCTACAATCTAAGTCCCACCAAAGACAAGATGCTCGTGGCAGTGAAGGTAAACCCTGGGGCACATGGGCAACCAGGACAGGGCTGGAGGGGGTCCAGTGAAGTGGAGGGCCATTGAGAAGGTGGTGTTAAACCGGTCTCAGATTTCATCACGGACTCTTTTTTTTAAATTTTTTTTTATTAATTACACTTTATTCATTTTGTATCCCCCCATAAGCCCTTCCCTCCTCCTCTCCCGATCCTACCCTCCCTCCCCTTTCTGCATGCATGCCACTCCCCAAGTCCACTGATAGGGGAGGTTCTCCTCTCCTTTCTGATCTTAGTCTATCAGTTCTCATCAAAATTGGCTGCATTGTCCTCTACTGTGGCCTGGTAAGGCTGCTCCCCCCTCAGGGGGAGGTGATCAAAGAGCAGGCCAATCAGATTATGTCAGAGGCAGCATGGACTCTTGATCAGTAAGGTTTCCAGGAGACCTAATGTGCCTTTGTTTTTAGAAGTCAAGAATTGTAATATGTAAGGGGGCTATTCCTGGTGACAACTTCTGTTTGTGAAAGGTTCTAACTGTATGGGGAGCTTTAGGTCACTCTTTTCAGTGACTTGTGGATATGCTGCTGACTGGCTAAACAGGCCACATCTCAGAAGCAGAGCTAGAGACTGTCTAATGAGTCGGGGGAGCCCCATTTCAAAGGTAATAGACATCATAGGGTACATGGGGAGATAGGGTTGTGGTGGTCACACAATTAGCACCTGGAACTGGTGAATGAGGTTGGGATAAATTCCAAAATCCCTGCTATGTCATCTGAGTTTAGATCCCAAGAGTATATTCAGAGTGTAAACTCAGTTGCATGAGAGCCTTTTACCACAGGGCTGTGAACCAGTGAGGCTCCAGGCAGATTTGCAACTGGAAATGGAATACTGGGAAAAACGGAAGAAGCTCTGTTCCCATCAGTTTCCCTCCTTCAGCCTGCTCCAGCAGAGAACTTTTCTCTGCACACCAGTGCTCAACAAGTCTTGACACATTCATAGAACAAGTGTCAAGTAGATTCACTGAAGCCTGGAACCAAACTATAGAGTGAGAAGAATGGAGTAGCCTCCTTTCATGCACCAGATTGTTCTGAGGCCATTGTGGAGTTTCCATGATGATCTGGAATGTCAAAAGACATTAGAGCAAGGGATGAAAGACATGGCCACTTAGAAGAGGACTCATTAGGACCTCAGAATGGCCCCATCTTTAGTACTGAATGGCCTGATGGAAATTCCATCATCTGTTTATTATCTTTGACTTTTGGCTCTCTGTATCCACAGTCCTGGGTATCTATTTGTAAGCTGTCTCTGCCCACAGAAGGTGAATCATCTGTACAGATGAAGATAGTTTAGTTCAGGGTGCCACCTGGCATGAGCATCAGAGTGAGAGCTTGGATACAAATCCTAAATCTTTCATGGTTATCTACAAGATCTTGTGCAGAACTTAAAGTGGGCTTTAGTTTCCCACTCTGAATGATGTTGATGACTAAGTTAATGCTCAATAAAGAGCAGAAGTTGTTTTTAATCTCTGCATTTATTCCTGTTATTGCCAACACTGATCTATTTAGGCACATCATATATGACCGACTGAGCTTTTATTGGGTATAAAGCTTACCATTTTCCCCTCTAAAGGACCAGAGACTAAATCTAAATATTTAAGTGTTGAAGCACCATGTGCTGCTGCATCTCACAAACTGCCTCTGCAGTGGGAAAGCGGCACAGACATCACATGAACCCGCCATGAGTGGCTGGTTTCCAAGATAGATACTTACAAAAACATAGATGATCTCTGATTTGAAAATAAGTACCTAGAATATTGCTCCACAAAGAGCAAATGATTATTGTTACTGTACACTCTTGGAATGAACTTGAGTATCTTGGACAAGGCTTGCAGAAAGGTTTCTAATTTTATCCTTAACCTTACCATCTGCTCTGCTCTGTTATGTTTAGTGAGTAGGATGGCTCTCATCTAGTGACCGCCCCAGTGTCTGTTTGGGAAGTGGCAAAGGAACCAGTTTGGGAAGTTTCAGCAGGAGATAAAACTATGACTGAGAACCATGGGTCTCAGTTGGGTCTGTGGAAATTCTGTCACAGAGAGGCACCTTGCCAGAATGAGTGATGCAGAAAAAAATGTGTTTCTGATTGCATCCTTTCCAAAGGGTCTCCTTTTCCCCACGGGTCTGGGAAACTCACGAGATGAGTGTTCTGGAATTTGACACCATTTGTCAAGCAGTGAAGCTGCCTAGTCCTGCCTGCAGCCCTCGAGAAAGAGTTCCATCTTCTCCAAGACCACCCAGGAATGGGAGTTCCCTGCTCTCTGTCCTTTGTGAATTCTCATCCTTTCTCAAACCTTTCTCTTGACTCTCAGTTCTCATGTTGATGCAGGTTAATTTTGTACTTCTGGAAGACATGGGCAAGCATAGCCCAAGATTAGGTTTCCTCAAAATTGGGTGTGAGTTTTCAATCTGTTGCTGAGTATTTTTTTTTTTTTTTTTTTGTCCAGCAATTGATACCATAGAAACAAAGGTGTGGCAGCCTGTTTTTTAATGTGTTTGCAGCCTGCTGGGGAACCAAGACAAACACCTGCAAAACAAATGGAAGACAGGACAAGACAGAGCATAACTTGTGTATAAACAAGACACCAAACTCCTGATGCTCCTAGGCACGCAGTAGAACAACTTCCCAATACCCATCATAAATTGCAAATATCTTAAGACAGAGCCATTTGTGGTAGCACAGGGCTGTAATCCCAGTACTCAAAAGGCAGATTCAGGAATTTGATACTATCCTGGACTACATAGTGAGATTCTGCATGGGATAGATAGATAGATAGATAGATAGATAGATAGATAGATAGATAGAT